AAAATTATATACCAATAAGCAGAACTGACCAAATTCTAGCGGGGTGGGGGTGGGAGAGAGAACGCCGCTAAATGGAGCTACGGAAGGTGTGTACATGTTTGCATGTTTCATTAGAGCTTTCCCCCGTGACTCGTTACATTTTAAAACTCTTTAACGCTTGTTTAGTACGTAAATTATTTAACTATAAATGTTCAGCTTTTAACTTTTGGTATTGAATTTTTAGTAGCATCAATTGTAAGTCAATGTGGCCTTTATTATAAACGACAAAAATACGTGCAAAAACCATGCAGCGAAAGTCCCCAACCGAGTAAGGTAATCTTTGGTCTAAACCTGGTATTGGCAACCAACGACACGCCTACAAGGGTCAGTGGCACGCGAAGGTACTGAAAACGATCATCAGAATTATGAATGACTTAACAAATGGCGTCTTATATTGTAGGTTGTTGGAATGCTGGAATTTTCTCTGGGGTAATAAAATTACATTGACGTGTACGAGAATCAATATAAATTTTGTGCACGTTGTGTCTCTCTAGGATCAGATTGAAATGGATTGTGTTCCAACCATAAAACACCGGTACGACGTGTGCCCACCAACCTACTGTTGTGTGCGGGACGAGTTCCTGCCCACCTATGTTTACTGCAAGAAGATCGGAAGCCTGGACGACAACTGCACCACCAACGAGACGGAGTCCGAGTGCCCATGCGGCCCGGGGCTCTACTGCAGGGCCAACATCCAAGGACAGTTCCCGTCTGTGTACGGCAAGTGTGCTGTTGACCACAACGCCACTGCCAGACCGTCGACTTCCCTGATTGGTTAAGTCTGATTGTCACAGAGCCAGTTTAAAATGAACGCAGCGCGAGCCTAATCCACAGATACAGGTGGTGAGACAACCTACGGTGAGACCGATGGAATCTTTAAAAAAAACAATGGCTCATTTTTATTATTATTATTATTTAATGTCGCTCGCTTTGGAGTAAAAAAAACGAAAACTTGAATTTCATATTTCTCTAAAAGAATTTCTGCTCAATTGTTTGACCACTTTCTGTCCATTTAGCTACTTTCATTCTTGTTTACGCCACTGCTATATATTACTTACATTTTGACATGTAATAAAAAAAATTAAATATAAAAAAAATGAAAACAATTTGTTAAAAATTCAATGGAGTATTTCTTTGTCGTTTAGGCTATAAGGTGAACACGTCACATATTTTGATCTCAGTGTGGGATTACGCCATAAGCTTGGGGGGGGGGGGGGAATGGCTACAAAAGTTATAATTAAAACAAAATCTTTTTTTAAATTACTTTGTCGTTTAGGCTATAAGGTGAACACGTCACATATTTTGATCTCAGTGTGGGATTACGCCATAAGCTTGGGGGGGGGGGGGAATAGCTACAAAAGTTATAATTAAAACAAAATCATTTATTAAAATTAATCACTAGTACTTTACATTACGGTCATATTAAAAGAAATATTTACTAAAAGATCACATTCAGGAAGCATGACAGATTTAGTGTTCAATTATTTCACTGCATAACTAAAGATTTACGGTACTTTACAGAAGTGTTGAGTGTAGTCATAAGAAGATGCTGCCAACACGGCTGGTAGGCAAGGGAGTACACAAAGCAAAGGGAAAAAAACAACACTAGTTTGCCAAGTTTATTGAATGCGTTGATCACTATTAAATTTCAAAGGACAGCTCTGCTGTTGATTGCTGTCTTGGCAAGGTCAGCTCTTTTAACATTATCAATGGCGCTTAGAATTTCTTTTCATTCTCCTAATGAGATGGACAGTTTTAAAATAATCTTTGCAAACTCATTCAAAATTAACTAACTTATATTATTTAATGATAAGTAATGTTTAGTGCTGCACTGCCAGGTAGAACTTACTATCTTAAGAATACATTCCAGGTAATATTATGTGAATTTTAAAGGATTATTGATATTAGAACTAAAGTACAAATATATAAAAGTATAAAACAATTTTACTAACAAGGGCAAAAGATTTTTTAAACTATTTTAATGTGAAGTGGTTTCCCTTGCAAGGGAATAAAAAAAGAAACCTAGTGCCTAAAGTTAGCTAAATCTGGCCATAGTGACGTCTGGCCATAGTGACGTCTGGCCATAGTGACGTCTGGCCATAGTGACGTCTGGCCATAGTGACGTCTGGCCATAGTGACGTCTGGCCATAGTGACGTCTGGCCATAGTGACGTCTGGCCATAGTGACGTCTGGCCATAGTGACGTCTGGCCATAGTGACGTCTGGCCATAGTGACGTCTGGCCATAGTGACGTCTGGCCATAGTGACGTCTTTCAGCTAATATCAGGAACAGAGAATAAAAATGTATTCTGTTCAAAGGAAGTTGAACACACAAATAATGGTGGTTATGCAGAGTAGATATCATCTTTGTGCAATCTCAACTGATTTTTATTTAATAAACCAAAGACTCACATAAAAACAAACTCATCCATTTTTTTTTCCCATTTAGTTCATGTGACCACCGTGTTAAACCCAAGTGTAAACACAAAGTATCTCCAAAGCAAATCGTTATAACTCATTATGGAACCCATCTCTGCTACAGCACATGATTCATTCGACATTAAAGAAATTTTGACATTCATATAAGACCTTTGAAAATTAGCGATATAAGAACCGGAGACATTCTTTAAGTGACAAAGACACTCTATATACTAGAGACGCTATGGCAAATGTGTCAAACTCAAGGCCCGCGGGCCACATCCGGCCCGCCGTACAATTACATCAGGCCCACGAGGTCTTGACCGGCGTATATATACCCAAGTCAATGCTATGGTGTTTCCCAATGCACACTTTGATGAAAAACTTAGCTTACTTCGCAACGAGTTCGCACGGCGCTTTAGTGACTTTGAGGCACAGAAATGTAATTTCGAACTGTTTCGTAACCCAGTTTTACATAGACATGGAATTTTCACATGTAAATTTTCAGATGGAGCTAATAGAGCTGCAGTGTGATGGGACACTAAAGGCAAAGTACGACACAGTTGGGCCTGCACAGTTCACTCGTTTCATTCCGGAAGAGATGCCCCAGCTTCGTCTACATGCGGCTCGAACCTTGGGCATGTTGGGTAGCACACATATTTGTGAGCAGCTGTCTTCTGTGATGAAGATTAACAAAACATCACACAGGAGTCGTCTCACTGACAAACACTTGCCGTCCCTTATGAGAACCTTAATGACACATGACGTTTCTCCCAACATAAATGAACTTACTTGTTTTTCCAAGAAAATGTGTATGCCAATGATTTTTAATTATTAAAAAAATTTTCTGTTTTTATTTATATAATCTAACTTTTTTAAAAAAAAGATTTATTTTCCGCTTATGGAATGCTTATTGACAATCAAAAGGTCAGACTGTCCGGTTCTCGTATTATCCCTCCAAGGTCAATCACGCATAGATCTCTTCAAAGCATGCAAAGGATACGGAAAGGATTATCACATGATTATAATTTACATATTACCTTTTGTTCAGGGGACCACTGCAAAAGAAAATGCAACAGAAACGATATATTGTGTTTAAATAACGCCAGATTAGGTGAAGAAAGATTCAGTATGAATCTAGATATGAGATAATAGACGCCTGAAGAATCATTCAGGCTTCATTTGTCGCGGTAATTAGTCCAGTCTATGTTAAATTTGTATTGAATAGTTTCTATATATCTCCACAAGGGAGGGTCAGTGAAATTGGAGTGTCATCAAAAATAATTCACAGGGACACCACGCAAAATATCGGTCAACCGAGATTAGTGCAGGATTAAGAACAGCGTGGGCCCCTCGTCAGTTGAAATAGTGGTAAGCTCACTGCCCAGAACCATTGGCAACGGAAGAGGGGGTGACACTTAATCATCATTATTTATTTAGTTAAACAAACAAACGAAACAAAAAAAATTGGGGTGGGTGGGGAGGGCTGCATCAAGCATATACTATTTTATGAGCTAATGGTGTGTATCCTGTATACTTTGTGAGTCTTCTTCCTTGACTACGCCAAGGGCGTCTCAAACTGTTGCTACGCCACTACCCAGGACAACACTGAGATGTTCGTCACATGGACAACGAAAACACGGAGGACTGGTCTTAAAGAGACCTAGGTCCTAGCAGACCGAGTAAGTTATAGAGAAAGATGAGCTAAATAGGCTAAGATGAGTGGGGCCTTCCGTAAATGACGTCTCGCATCTAGGGGGGGGGGGGGGGTCAAGAAGTTGTGACGTTGTTTTTAAATGGTGTTTAAAATGTATGACAAATTCGTGACGATGAGGGAGGGGTGGTAAGTACTTTAAAATAGCATGACGTCATTTATGGGTGGTCTCTGACCACTCAGACAGGTAGGACAGAGGCAGCCGATATACAGAAGTGGCGTTCCCTGACCCTGGCCTTTTCCCAAGCACCATAATTTGGCACACGAAGACTGAATGAAATATACTACTGCAAGCAGACGTTATTAATATTAATATCTCTATTTAATTTAATGAAAATGCGTATTATTATTATTATATATGAATTATTTTAGGCATACTATAATTACATTTAAGTTTATTGAGCTTAGAATCAAAGTATCTAACACTCTATTAAATAGATTTTATTACGTTTGTTTTGAATATTTATCTTGTGCTTGGGTAACAAAAGACAAAGAATGTAAATTATATCTAAGTCATATCATTTCTTTAAAAGTTAAAAGTAAAGAAATTTTAAAGTAGGCTAAATTAGTTGAAAATAAATTTGATAAAACATGAAACTTAAAGCTAACTGTGGTTTAACTATGATAATTTCATAATGGACACCATTTGAATATATATAAAAATAAAGTAATTATTTAATTTTAAATTTCAAATTTTGTTATTAAAATGTACGCTGTCGTAAAAAGGCTGCTCTTCAGGAGTATCTATTTCTGCATTTATTATCCTTGTTTTGTTTCAGGCAATAGCATTTTGTGCGGATATGTTTTATTTTTAGTATTTCCGGTATACACTGCCGGTGTGGAAATTGACGAAGAATATAACGGGAGTAACGTAACCAACTTTTAAAATGTCTTTCTCTATGGATACTGCTCCTTCGCTGGAAACAGTTAATCAGGCTTTGCAGGCTCTCTATAATAACCCAGATGTCACTGGCAAGGAAAAGGCATCTGTATGGCTAGGTGAACTACAAAAATCGGTGAGAATTCATCAGTTGGGCCGGCTGAATTAGCACTGCCGCAGAGCATCATTGTCAGAATTCTCTTGGTGTAACTATTTAAAATATTTTTTGCTTTGATTGAAAGGCATTTACATGCATCTTTGGGTTTAGTTCAAGAATTGAAACTATTTATCATTTTTTCAATCACTGGAAAACTTATTTCATTCATGACAAATTTATTGTGACTCAGAGTCAGAGCTCTGTCTCACTCTCAGTGACTCTCTGAACTCTCGGTAGTCTGGTAGTCTCAATACCGATATTATTATTGGCTAAAACCGAGGATGGCTGCCACTGTCACTCGGCCGCCACTGCCACGGCGTCTTTTGTGTCTTTATTATAGTTGCAGTGATTTAGAGTTTAGGTTAGGTTTAGAGATCGATTTAGGGTTCAGATTAGGCATAGGGATCGATTTAGGGTTCATAAATAGGCATAGGGATCGATTTAGGGATACATTCGTGAAATTTGAAAAAAAAGTGGCAGGAGTCCCCATTTTTAACCTTATTATTATATTAGACACTTTTTTTTAGAAAATACCCGGTGGGTCTAAGTAAGGGTGACCAACCTTTCACGATCGTACCCATTACCCGGTGTCCTGAAAAAGTCTCTTGGGACCCCTAAATGTCCGGTTTTTAAAACCAAACACATTTTTAAATCGATTAAACTTCCTAATTTATAATCTAATTTCAAGTAATATTTTTGCTAGCTGTGTAGCCAGTGCCAGTAGTGATGTGGGCTCACGTTATGAATGCTCTGTTCCCCCTCCACCACTCTGCTGATACTGCGTTAACGACAGTGCCCCGGCTATAGATCTTATTATGTTGTAAAATATGTATAAATAAATAAGTATTCACAGTAAAATTATTGTTTTTGTTTATGATATCCCTCAGAGTTTAAATTAAATTACAAAAGTGAAGGTAAATTTTAATTTAAAAAGATTTCCAAGTCTTTGCAGTTTTCGGCGGAGGCTCCCGGACCCCTCTTTAGCTGGAGGGTATCCCGTTTTTTCCAGTTCATGATTTGGTCACCCTAGTCTAAGTGTTAGTGTTACAAAAAAAGAGTTCTCATTTTCTATAATATAGGCATAGTACTACAGTACAGAAAGTCCTACATAACCTGCCAGCATTTAAACAATAGTCCTACAGACAGTCCTACACTCTACCTGCCGGCCATTAAACAATATGCATACAGCATGCCCATGGCTCTTTATTGATTAATTTAATAGCTCCTCCCCGTATAGAATTTTCTTTCCCCGAGTCTTACATGACAGTCTTTTTTTTTTCTAGTCAGGGGCCATCCATAAATGACGTCACGCAAATTTTGCAGATTTTGACCCCTCCCCCCATCGTCACAAAAAGTTAGGACACCAAAATATAACGTCCCAAATCCCTGCACCCCCCCCCCCTTTATAAAAAGTCCCTGTGTCCATTACTGTCATTTACAAACCCTTAAGAAATTTGCCTCCCATGGATATCAAATTACTGCACCCGTGTCAGAAACATTTCACTAGATCAGTGGTTCTTAACCACAGGTACAAGTACCTCCCCAGCCTTGAGATGTGGAAGACCAAAGCGGTGTATTCAGTGGACACTTCCCGTGTCCAGATTTAGCCACAAATTCTCACGACTGTCATTGTAACTACATTCCGATTCTCCTACTACTGGGCGTCCTGTAACTTGATCTGAGGCCATTCTTCGGACCTCGCATACCTAAAGAACTGATAGTAGTTTTAAAATAAAATGATTATAATTTTTTTTTTTAAATATTGTTAAAATATCTGTAATTTAGTGTTATTAAGTGAAATTCTTTACTGCAACATTCTGCTTTTCTTGTGACGTCACATGGTTATAGGCGCTATAATTTTTAAAAAAATAAAATCTGCTATTGCACAGTGAGAAGCTCTATAGATTTTTACATACATTAGCTATTGATTTTTTTAAAAAGTCGCATAACTCATTTTGATACATGACCTAATTTTCTTTGTGTGAAGTTTTTAAAAAATGTTGTACTATTATATTCTGTAGCAATTAATATTGACCTGTATGCACTCACATATAAATGTCCAAATACTGTTCACTTTTCCAGTTTCAATATAGATTTATTTTTCTATTGACTAAATTTTCTAATTTTATGATTATAATCTAATGAGATTATTTCCCAATCCCTTTTAATATGTAAATTTCTTCACTGCTGACATCTGTTGAAATAGTTTTGAAAAGCAGAAGATAAAAGTATTTTGAGCTCAAAATGTAACCTTTATTAGGTATAATACTCATATTACTTGCAATTTTTCTTAAATAAAAAAACCATATTTATTATATTGAATGAATGATTTCATTTTGAGATCTTAACATGTCAAGTACAAGTAATGAGACAGAGATGGTTATCATAGTAATTAAATTATATTAAACTTTCGATCAACCGTTAAGAAATAATATTTAATCAATACAAATGAATCTTTGAACCCTTAAATTCCAAGCAGTTAGCTAATTTGGTAACTATTTGACATAAATAAATTTGTTTCTAGGTGTTTGCTTGGCAAATAGCAGACCAGTTATTGAGATTAAACCAGAGTTTAGAATCATGCTACTTTGCAGCTCAGACCATGCGAACAAAGGTAAGTAAACATTTATTGGAATTGGAACTTATATTTAAAGTTAATATGTGAGTATTGAAATTGCAAATAATAAAGTTTCTTAAATTATTTTATTTTTGAGCAAAATAATTTTTATGAAAAAATGTCAAATTATGTAAGTCAAACTGTCATGATAATTCATTTATAAATTTCAGAAGTAAATTATTTGGAATTAAAATATTTTCAGATACAGTATGCCTTTCATGAACTACCAGCTGAGTCACACCAGGTAAAACATGCCTTTCATGATATTCTTTATTAGTGCACTGAGAATAACAAGGCAAGGAATAAATAAAATTTCAGAGCAGGCGATATTGGCGTTTTTAATATAGGAATAAAGCTTATTTAAACAGCTATTACATTAAGTCAGTGGTTTTCAAGCCCTTTTCATAGTCTTTTTGAAAATTATGTTTTAATCACTGTTCAAGTATTTAAATAAAACATTGGTATCCAAACATTTATTCTAAGATTAATTTTATATGAATTTATTTCGACTTAGATTATATTGGGTAGATCTGTGGTTCCCAACCTTCCTAATGGTGCAACCCTTTAATAAAGTTTCTCATGTTGTGGCGACCCCCCAACCATAAAATTATTTTCATTGTTACTTCATAACTGTAGAGTATATATATTTTCCAATGGTCTTAGACAAACCATGTGAAAGGGTCGTTCAACCCCCCTTCAAGGGGTCGCAACCCACAGGTTGAGAACCACAGGGCTGGTTACCGGAAATTTGTTTGAAAAAAATTTTGTCTACGAAAATTTTATCAAAGTTATTTTTCAGTTCACACACTAAAATTTTTTAAAATTTCTTTTTGAATGCACTTTACTATATAGTCAAACAAAATAATGCATTCAAAAAGAAATTGATGCAAAATTTTAATGTGTGAACTGAAAAACAGATTTGACCTAACTTCCGCTCGATTGAATTTGCGTAGACGAAATTTCTTTCAAACATACTTCTGGATACGCACTGGGCTAGATTATACTGTAGGTTCCGTAATGCTTTATATGTAATAGGCATAAAAAACAACATTGTTTAAATGGATATAGTATAATAATCCCTTAGATATCAAAATCTTGAAACATATTTGTGAACCTTTCTTGTTATACCAGTTGAAAATTGCTAGTTTAGGCTATTACCAATGAATGTATTACTAATCTCACTTAATTGTAATAAATGGGCAAAGAAATTGTCATATTCATCTTTTATCTCTCCAGGCTTTGCGGGATTCATTGCTAGAGCATGCATCAAAAATAGCACCTGGAACGCCACCGGTAATTGTAACACAGGTACATAATAAATATTGGGTTGGTTTTTTTTTTGTTGTTTTTTTTTTTTCAAATTTTATAAATCAAATGTTTATATGACAAAAATTCTTTTAAATTTTATATCAATTCAATGAGCTTGCAAGAGCAATTTAGCATTATTATTATGATACTATTAAGTTTTTATTCATCTGGCAGTGCAGTATTCTTTTTGATTAACATTTTATGTATGTTTTAATTTTTATAGCTTTCACTAGCCTTAGCAGACTTGGCACTTCAGATGGCTACTTGGAAATCAGCAGTTCTAGATTTTGTAGAAAGGTTAATATCTTGATAATGCAACTGTTAAATGCAGACTGATTTTATTTTCTATTTTATTCAATTAAAGATGTGCTGAGCATCATCCAATTTATAAAAATAATCTGCAGTTTTAAAAGGCATGTCCAAACATATATAAAATTTCTTTCTAATTCTGTTAATGTTGTAGTGCTAAAGCTTGGCCATAATTACTCAAGCAAAAAATTGGATTTTGGGATATAAGCAAGCAGATTTGCCAATGGTTAAAATTTCTGTTTCTATTATGCTTCACAGATTCAGCAATGACCACATGGGATTTTTACTTGAAGTTTTAACGGTTCTACCAGAGGAGGTAATTAGAATTGTATGTTTTATTGATATGTAAAGGAATTTTTATGTTTTTACTCTGCCTGGGTAAGGAACTTTTGATTTTTTAAGCAAAAATTGAAATTTCTCTAACTTTATTATCTTTATTGTTTTGTTCTGATAACCATATTACAACTCTATTTCACTGGTTCTCAATGAAAATTTGAAAGTTTGTGTTTATTGTTGCTGCTAAAATTCAATAAGCTGTTTTAAATGAGTATTTTTTATTGCATTCCTGTCACTCCTAGATTAGCAGTAGATCACTTCGTCTTGGTGCTAACAGACGCAAGGAAGTAACAGATGAACTTATAGAAGCAAGTCCAACAATAATTCAGTTACTTACGCATGTGGTATGTTATTTTTATTTAAAAACTCAAGTTAGTGTTGTCGTCGTCCCGACCCTTTTATTTTTATACCTTTTTTTTTCTACTCTCAATTTCATGAAATTTGTCTGTCGTCTGTAGCATTATTTTGTGAAGTCACATTTGACCCTATCGCACAGTTGATCGTGGATATCTTGTCTCTACGTAAAGAGAACAGCCCTAGAATGGATCGATTCAGTCTTTCTTGTGCTAACTTGACTGTAAAAGCACATCTGAGCTATAACAGAGAGTTACAGCTTCGGTATGGTGGGTTAAAAAGGGGGGGGGGGATTATCAGTGGTGAGTGTAGGGGAAATAAATGGGGATTTAAAAAACAACAATGCTACCCTTTCTCTTATGATAACCATCGGTCCTAATTGTATGATTCAGGTAGGGGATTGGGGAATTATACAGGGTAAAAAGGGGGGGGGGGGGATTATCAGTGGTGAGTGTAGGGGAAATAAATGGGGATTTAAAAAACAACAATGCTACCCTTTCTCTTATGATAACCATCGGTCCTAATTGTATGATTCAGGTATGGGATTTGGGAATTATACTCTGATCAACGGACAGCAAGCAGTCATTTAATTCAACGTTATAGCATTATGCCTAGGTAAAGAGTTAAGTCATTATGCCCTGGATTTTTTAAGCATTCTTTGTTTAAGAAAAAATTCTTTTGTGGATAATTTACAGATTAAAATTTTAATACTAAAAAGTAGTTATAAAAATTATAATAAACCTTTTTTAAAAGACTCTTTTGAAGAGTTAAACACACTAAAAAAGTAGAAAATACTTTTTCAATTTCTTAATATTCATTATGGAAAGCCAGTCTGTGCAAAAAATATAATTAACAATAAATTTAATTGGAATCATTTGGCCTCTTAAAGTGCCATACTACCCTTCTGCACATGTTCTCTTTGTGTAATGAATTTTACAAATATACACTTTTTAAAGAAAAATTAACTTTGGTGTTTGATAGTATTACCATTACATGATTTTAAAAAAATAAGAAATAAAAGCAGTAATTGTATATAGTGACACATGCAAGAAATAATCATTACTTTACAATATACAGAATACAAATGCATGTGGAGAAGAGGAAAGAGACCAACGTGCACGGAGTAAAACTTATAAAGTAATGGGAAGCTGGTTCTCGGTGGGAGCTATACCACAGCAAGTTCTACTTTCAACTCAGCTAATGAATTATCCCTTTCAAGCCTTGGTTAGTAACGTATCAGGTTTTAGTTTTTTCAAAATTACCATTCATAAAGTTTTTACAAATGTAAGAAGTTTTTCATTTTCAACTAGTTTTATTTAAGTTGTACGTATATTTAGATTTTTATAAATGTCTTTTATTTATTTTAAGCGTAAAGAACAATTACTTTAAACAAATTAATACATTGCCAATGTTATTTTAGGCCAATGTTCACTGTCCTGCCTTTCTTCATGAAGCTGCTACAGATTGTGTTTGTTCTGCTCTTTATTGTTCTGAGGTAGGACTACCCATAAACGAAAACATAATAGATTTAATGACTTTTAAGTTCACTTTGATTAGTTGGTGTAGAGTATAAATAACTCTACATCTTATAAAACCAAATTATAAAAATTGATACCCTTGATTCTTGTCTCTCAATAACCACTATTGAAATGTGTTCGTAGAGTAGTATCAAAGGTATCAGTGGTCATGAGTTATGTATGACAGAAATAAAATTAAGCAAATTAAAAGTTTTAAATGAAGTTTTATCCTCGCAAGGACTTGGAGAATTACCATGAGCTGGCCCAGAGACTTTTTCAAGGAGTCATGACACTCGTCCCTGCTTATCATCAAGCTGACAAAGATGAAGAATCTGACAAGTGTGTTTCTTGACTTTTTTTACTTGTTTTTTTTTCCATTCTTAATTTAGTTATATTCACAATCAAAGCAAAGAGCCTTTATTAATGCCTTGTAAAATATTCAAAATATTTTTCAAACATATTTTGAAGATTTCACTGTGATGCTCATAGAAATTGTATGATAAGTATTTGCAACATTACAGACTAAGATTTACAGCTCCTTGCTTTTTTTATTGTTTTATTCTTCAAAACTTATAATTTTATAATCAATGTCATTGTTTGATTTCTGTAAATCGCTATTTCCTCTTTGTAACAGGTGCCTGAATTACTGCAGAGTCTTTACAGAATTAAGTGAATCTCTTTTTGACATGCTGCTGGCAACACCCAATCAGGTTTTTAAATTTCCTTTTCCCATTTTTAAGGGGATTTCTTTATAACTTTGTTTAAAGGTTACCAATCTTAACATTTTTAATATAAAGTAATTGAAGTGATTTTATTGCAAAGAATGTTTATATGTACAAGGGTTTTACTTCTTTAAAAAAGAAGTAATGACTCATTAAAAAAATGATAGTAAGAATTTTTAGCAGAATTTTTTTTTTTAATTACCTTTTCTCAAAATTTGAGTATAGCTAAACATTGCCATTTTTAACGTCATCACTTGTCCACAGGGATTAGGAACCTTTCAATTACTAGATCTCCTTCTAATGTGTGTTGGTCATCATCTTTATGAGGTAAGCTGCTGACATTTTTTTGCTCCTTGTAGGCTTCACAATCTAAAAAATAAATTACTGAAAGACTTTTTCAACTCTTGAAGAAAGTATTTTATAGATTTTTTAAAACTCAAATTTAATTTTACACTACTTTTATTTTAGTTAATTTTTTTATTCTATACTATTTATTGAAAGGTTGGAGAAATTACTTTTAACTTTTGGTACCGCCTGTCAGAGGAGCTGTACCAGCGGAACAATCAGGAACTTACAGATCTCTTCAAGCCTTACATACAAAATTTGGTTTTGGCCTTATGCCAGCACTGTCATATGGATGAAGATCATGTAGGTTAAATTGTCTAGTTGTTACATTTTGCTCAGGTTTAACAATTGAGATGCACAGCAGCAGCTTCACCCATTAAATTTAATTAGGAAAAAAAAAGTTTTATTAATAAATTGCAAATCCCTATCAGTTGATTTTTATATTCACTCCATTAGGAAGGTGTTCCAGATGAAAGTGGTGATTTTGGAGATTTTCGTGTCAGAGTCTCAGAGTTAATAAAAGATGTAGTGTTCATAGCAGGCTCTTCTTCATGTTTTGTGCAGGTTTGTTTACTTTTGTTTGAAATTATTACTTACAACCATAAGTTTCGCATCCTTGAAATGGTATTGGGTTTAAATATTTATTACTCCTGACCATACTTACTAATAGTATTACTCCATGCACAATAAATCTTCGGGCCTGTTTAATAGTAGTTTTTTACCCTCTGGAATTAGTTTATTTTTTAAAATCTTTAATTCAATTTTCCTTTTTTTCTGGGATATGTACCAGATGTTTGAAAGTTTAAAGTCACCCAAGCATCCATCTTGGGCTATATCTGAAGCAGCCCTGTTTGTTATGACAGCCGTAGCCAAAAACATTTTACCGTGAGTTGATAGATAAGGTTATTCTGGTTATTTAAGTTTACGGCATTCCATTGTAGAGTCATGGTTTATTATTGTTATTAAACAATAATTAATTTTATAGATCACACTTAATTTTTACTTATCAGTATTTACCTCTAATTTACCTCTAAGGCTCCCACGCATAATTCCTTTCCAATAGCCCAATTTAATCTATGTATACTTTATTAATATTGCTTCCATTTAATAAACACTCCTAATAACAAAGAAATTTAATAACATAATATAAGAATTAATCATTTTTATGCGTAAGGATTGCTTCAATAATACTGATGGTCTTTAATTATTTTTTTTGTCTTTAGAGAAGAAAATGAAATCGTCCCCCAGGTTGTTGAAGCCATCCTTGCCATGCCAGATACAACCCATATAGCAGTGAGGTATACCAGTATACAACTGCTAGGAGAGTTATCTGAATGGATTGAAAGTCATGCTCAATTTTTAGGTCAGTTCTGTCATTCCAGACGTATTTTATAGACTTTCTCTCTATTTGCATTTTTATCTTGTGGATGGAATGTTATCTTTTATTTACACAAGTGACATTTTAAGATTTCTTGTGTTGTGTTCATCCGGTGGATGATGGAGCTGGGTTGACACTGTCACTCAAATTATCTTGGTTGACAGCGTCTGTACACTGAGTGAGTGGGTGAGCTCAGATCTGGTTATTAGTTTTATGCCTAGGTACAGAGTCTAGTCACTTTAACCGGGATTTTGTAAACATTCAATGTTTAAAAAAGTAAATAATTCTTATTTTATCAATAATTTAATTAATAAAATTTTAGAATATAACAAAAAAATTGTAAAACGACTATCAACGATGAGTTAGAATGCACTGAAAAGTAGAAAATGGTTTACAATTTCTTAAAATGCATAATGCAAAGAAACTCCATAGAGAAAATATTTTTGTTAAAAAAAGTAAATAAAATATATTTTAGTTTGGTCTACATTGAATTTGAATTCCTTTGGCTTCACAGTGTGTCCACCGACACTTCTACACAGTCTTTCTTTGCAAGATGCATTTTAAGAAATTTTCAGTTAAATTCTAGTTTTTAGAACGTTTTAACTCATTTTTTTTTTAAAATATTTTTTTATTTTTTTAAAGGTTTTACAATTTTTTTAGAATTTATATTGTACAAAAAAAAAAAAGAGTTTGTTTAAAAATTAAAATTGAAACAGAATTAACTAATTGTTGTATATTCTCTATTCTTATTGTAACTATTTTTATCAACAGATTTAATTTTGCAGTATCTCCTTGCTGGCCTTCAACAGCCTCTGCTGGCATCAATGGCAGCTAATGCACTTCAGAGTATCAGCACTCAGTGCAGAGACCATATGACAAACCACTTTGAAGGACTGATGCACATTGTTAGGTCAATGGAGACATTTAACCTGTCCCCGGATGCTGCAATTGGTCTTTTAAAAGGTATTTTATTTATCTAATATAATGTGCACAAAATAAATTTAAAAGCAGACAAATTCAGCATTGTTTGTTTTTTTGCCTTGCAAGACCTTTTAGTAAAGGAGACAACCCCTCATTAGTCTTATTACTTTTGGCCTACCTTTCCTAATTCTACATTCATCCTATTCAACAGACAGCTTAAATATTAGGGGTGTGCCGGACCCCGGTCCGGAATCCGGTTCCGCCGGATTTTGCACTATCCGGTGAAATCCGGTTCCGCCGGATTTACATGTATCCGGAACAACCGGATTCCGGAATCCGGAATATACCGGATTTCGGAATTTGCCAGATTTTGTGACTCACCGGATCATAATCTGAAATAAAAGTAATTCTCTTTCCCGAATTTCACACGATCACGATACATTAATCGATTGTTTCGAGCGTTGAGCTTGTTTAATGTTTAATATTCCGTACATACCAGAGGCTAGAGTCAGCACCGCTAATAGTGGCCAATAGTGTAGGGACTTTGATAAGAAAATTTAAACTTTTTGTAAAAATAAACCAATGGCATAGTTGAAAAGATGTAATTTTTTAAAGAATTATAACACCAAAATCATATTTTTAGCTGTTGTAGTTTTAAAGTTATGAATTTTTAAAGTACGACTTGGTTTGTCATTTTTTAACATGGACTGCATCTCCACATTCTGTGATCTCATTCCACCAATCCCGTCATGCGCAATGACTATATAGTTTATATAAGGCAACGCATTCCCTGCCTTATCACTAAAATACTGTTTAGACTTAGTTTAAACTTTCAACTTTGGCACATGAATAATTAATTAAAGCTTTCCCTGACCAATGGTTTAATAGTTTTTGCACACGGCAAACTCTTATGAATGAAACTCTGAGGTAGTACTACGATACAGTTATGCAAGTGGCTGTGAATGGTTGCCAATGACAACGTGTTGCACACGGTAAATTCTGATCATTTATAATATGGATTCTACCGGGTTGTTAAAGCTCAAATTAAAACATTCCAGTTTAAATGTCTTTAAATGCATTCTGAAACACAAGTTATCAATTATTTTGATGTAAATAGTGATAATAAATTAATATTTCCTAAGTATCGTCAACTTCCGCCATTAAAAAGGGGGGCGTGGCCAACCCCATGGCGAAATTAGGTTGAGCGAGCTGCATAACCTGCTGCGAACGCGTAGAAACATGGCGTCTCTCGTAAGACACTTATCCAAATGGAACGGAACTCAAATATATATCGAAAGTACTAATTTAATAATAAATAGACACACACATCGGAAAATTAAAAACTCGGATTTTTTGGCGCCGATTGCGAATTCCCATACACAAAAAGTAGTAGTCCACCTTGACTTACCGAAGTATCTACCAATAGTACCAAAATCCGGAATCCGGGAGAAACCGGAATCCGGATCCGGCGGATTTCGCATAAGAAAATCCGGATCCGGTTGGAAAAAACGGATCCGGCACACCCCTATTAAATATTTATGTTATTTTATATTAATGTGGTGTGCTTAATTGGTGTAAAAGCTATATTTTCTCATACTTTGAAATGTATTAACTAATACGTTTCAATCTTCCCACATATTATATACAATCCTTCAATCTCATTAAATTTTTTGCTTCAAGGAAACACTGTTGACATATTTATAATTATGGTAATGGAAAAATTTCACAGGTAACATACGGTGTAATTTAAATTAAGGATTAATCAGATATACATTGTCAAAAGGTTCTGAATTCCGAGGTTTTTCTTTTACTTCTATTTGCCATCCTGGGTACGAATTTGTTCATATACAAAGCTACTTATCATTCATGATGAAAATATTGTGTTTTAGGAAGCGACCGGGTAGACATTTTCACCGGGTACCGAATCCAAGTTTTTGTTATCGTTTGCTAAATACGGGTACGAATCTGAGTATTATGTGGATATTATTCATGATGAAACTTGTCCGCTTATTACACACATTACCCGTTCCATGTATAATTCAATGTCTATGTGTAACACATGCTATTTTACCGTTGATGTAGCATGGTTAACTAATACTTTGTTTGATTGTCAAGGATGCCGCTATCACTTGAGTAATATAATTAATTCTCTCACTCCTCAAACTTAACTGTCCTCTCACACAATGAATGAGGTGTCAAAGTCCATGAATAAATTGTACAGTACTTTATTATATGAATTACTACAACAATAATAAGACTTGCAATGAGGATATCCTGCAATAATTTATATAATATTCCACATCACAATTGAATCACAATACTTCAATAATTCGCATGATAGAAAATAAAATATGTCTTCTCCCTGTCCGAAAAATGGTGTATTCTCCACTCTACTAAAGCGTGCGGTCTACCTCCGCTCTAGAAAAATATAGTTCCTCCCCTTTTATCGTGAAATACGAGGTATTCCAACTCTATGCTCAAATTACTACGCCATCCTGACATAATAGTGTCGTGTGTAAAATTACAGACAACTTGGTCTGTTACACCATGTATAATGTGATATGTTAATCTAATAATAATACAACTTAACTAAATAAATATTTATTTTAAAATTGAAATATCAAAATCATTTAAAATGCTACAATATTTAAGGGGGTAGGTGATCGAAAATATCTTAATTTTAAAAAAATTATCCATTTTTTTATTTTTTCATTTTTTACGATGATGAACATTCTTAGAATCGATTACATATCAATTTATACTACCGTACTTTTTAAAATATTTGTTGTGAAACAACTGATATTTAACACCCCACCCCACTCTAAAAATTGACCTAATTTTGGAAATAAAATAAAATTCATGCATATCCCATGTTTGAGACCTCAAAAAACTAGTTTTAAATAACATAATATGCTATATTTATATATCAACGTCAAGGTAAATTCAAGCAGTTTTTTTTATATTTAGAATCGTAGTCAGTAAATATAATTGCTACAAATAATCGGATCCACAAGCGTAATGTGTATAGGATATTCTTCGCTTCTATTTATATAATTATTTTACTGATTTTCATTGGTCCAAACGGGGGGGAACCAAGATACCGTTGACTCGTGCATGCGCAAACGAGTTGTTTATGTGTGTTTACCGGATCGTGGTTCTGTGTACATAACAAAATTTTGCAAACGAAAGCATCAGCATATTTTGATTTTAAAATATACATTTACAACCGTACCCATTCGGTAAAAGCCAGAAATTCAAGGTAAGTATACTAAAAAAAATGACCTTAATTTAGCAACACGCAATCGGTGATAATTAAAATCATTGTCACTGTGTTGCCATGATTATAGTGCATGTGGATTGTTTGTGAGTTTATGGTTAGCTTATGCGGAGAATTACATGAGTTTCTACTTTAAGTCTTTATATTTACCAATTAAGTGAATTGTTAAGCTGTATGAATTCTAAGCCTATTTATTTATATTTGTCTAACAAAACAATATTGATAAATAATCGAGTAGTTCAAAGTAATTGGCTAAGGCTAGGACTAACATTCAGTAACAACGCAATATTATGCCGTAATACTACTATAATTATAGTATTAGCATTATGGGCAAAATAATTTGTATTAGAATGTTTTAACTCAAATAGTTTAATCGTAGCCTTATTCATTTATTTTATCTGTATACAATTATTAATAGTAATAGCCTAATTAGTTTTATATTATTTCTTATTTGTAAGATCAGTTCATTAGACTAATAATAGTAATTATATTAAAATAGATATTTAGCTAAGCAATCCTAAACATCTAAATAATAATAATAGGCTTATTGAGATCATTTTCAATTTATTATTTTCTAAATGATGTTTAAATAATTTTTTAATTCCATTCCAGCCCCCAATAAGTTCTGCCGAGCAAAAGTTAATTCTTCAGTGACAAGAATTCAACAGAGGGACTGCTAAACATTGATTTCGATATGATCATAATTCAAAGCTTTTATCAATTTTCTTCTGTCCGCAGTGGAATGGGCAAATTGCAGAAGCCATAACTTACAGCTGATTGCAAAACAAAATAGTAAATACTATGAATATAACAATGACTGGATTGTGAGTGGTTAGATTGTTCATATCCACAACTGGATAACCAAGTCATTATCAATTATAGACTGTAAGGCCTGAAGGACAATGGCATTGACCATGAAAAGTTGCAATCTATGATATCTGCAATAAACAATCCAGCTGCACTGCAAAAGTTATAACCTGCACAAAGTATAAAAACTGCGCTATGCCGAAGACATAAAACATAATGAGCAAGTATCTGCCCAATTATTACATTTCTAATAGACAAATAACTCATTCACCTCTGGTATGAGGGATATCTTTGATGAAAGAAGTACACAGAATAGATACAAAAGTTTCAACATGGCATTGCTGCCATGAAACTATTTATGCTTCAATTTCAGTGATGGTGACATCAACATAACCTTGTCATCTAAGTATGGTTAAAGGGATCATGGACAAAAAGGGTTGATTGGGGACTTTGGATAACTTGTGTTATACTATAATGCTGAACAACAAAATTCTTGTACAACACAAATTAGCTTTATTCCAGAAGAAAAATATTTTTTTTTTAAATTGTGATTTTGACGAGAGCACCAGAGTGAAGTTTGAGAAGGTGAAACCCATGTTCCTGGTGCGTTCAACAGTTCAATAATATACGAAACCACCATGTCCATGTTACTGAACAAAAAAAACTATGTAAAAGAACTTTATTTTCATAATAAACTTAAAATTTTAAAAGTTTAAAATTGATTTTTCTCAAAAAAAAATTTTTCTGTTGTTTTGTAACGTAGAATTCTAAAATCTTAGCTAATATACAAGTTTGAGTAATAAAATTGTTGTGTATCTTCCTTTAACTATTTTGTGGGTAATGAGCTATTCAAAAGTCAATTTGGTCAATTACTTTTGTTAAAATAATTTTTTTCATTTCCAAGGATGGTAAATTTTAAGCGCTTGCTGCTGAGGCAAATTTTAAAAATTTAAAAAAAAAATGTTTTGAAAAGTTTGAAGGAAATAAAACTAGCTCAGTACCTCTAAATATAAATGAAGTTCATGAATCAATCATTTTTTAAGCAATATGTTTGTTTTTAAAATTTTAGAAATCTACGAATGTGTATTATTTTCAAGATGGCCACCGTTGCCATGGCAACTATATAATTTTTTTTTCGTTTGAAGCATGAAAATATATCTCCATTCATAGCTTAACATGACCATAATAAAATAGTTGCTCTAAGTTGGTTAATTTTTTTTAAATATTTTTTTGTAGCCTACCCCCTTTAAATGTATTGCGGTCTTCATACTTCAAATGTGCACTACTAACATTACTGGTGTTATTTGATGATAATGGTTGCACAGGCATTAGAATACCGGTAATGAAAAATTTCTTAGCCGAACCCCTACTATTAACACTTTATAATCCGCATAACACATGGAATAAATAAAAAACAGCATCTATCCACATTATGGTAGAGTGAAGAATAATGTTATAAAGTTGGTAAACTCAATATGCTTGTTTTTTTTTTCTTTCTAAGTTTCGCTGGGGATTAACTCTATTAAACAAGTTTGAAATTGATGCAATTTAGACCGTACAGCCTCCTATTTTAATACTCATGTGTTTTGAATGTCTTTTTGCAGCATTGCTTATTTTTTTAAAAACGGGACGTTCGGCCTGGGTGAATTTCTGAGATGATATCGTATTATTTACATTTTTCAATGCTAAGAGATTTAACAAAATGTTGCTTGTGTTGTCAGGTACAGCCACAATCCTTGGCAGACTGCCATCTAATAACATCACAGTAGCATTAAGTCAACTATGTGCTTGTCAGATTTCTCCCTTGGACAGAGTAAGTAATTACATGGCAATAAATGCTTTACTTTCTTAACTGAAATCAAACTTAGATTCAATCTGGTTCAATAACATGAATGTCAGAATAGGTAGAAAAAAATATATTTATTGTTTGACAGTTTATTCTGATTTGTTATTTAGGCTTCAATTCATTGAGCTCTCAAAATTCATAATTGTAAAAAAAAATTCTACAATCCTATATTAGGTATTGTTTTATATAGGCTATTAAAACCTGATAACTATACCTAATTATCTTCCAAAAGATGTTAAATGAAGACAGTGGACCTGTGAAACAAGGTGCTCCTAATGATCCTGTTGTTTGGCTGGACAGGCTTGCTGCAATTTTTAGGTAATTTTTAGTGAAACATATTTTTACAGATTTGAGAGGCTGTCATCTTTAATATTGCACCACAGGATATTATTATCTTTTTTCTAAGTCATACTGTAAAATTGATACAAAGCTGCAACCATGTCACACCATTTATTAGGGATACAATTTATTTTCTTGCTACACATATTTTAACAGTCTTGAACAATTTTACGTTTTATAAAAATCCGGTACCAAATTCACACTCCATGAACCTAAATAAACAAACTGTGTTTATGTGATTAAATCTATTTTAGTTATGAATTTTAAGAAGGAATTGATGAAGCATGAAAAGCCAGACAAATGAAATCCAAACTACGCTTAAACATATCCATCGTTTAATGTAAAAATCGAAGTGTATTCCAATAATGTATATATGTAAAAAAAAAATATTATTTTAGTATTTTTTTCTTTTAATTTTTAACATTTCTAGGAATAATGTATATAATGCCATTCCAACAGACACACTAATCCATCGGTTACCAATGGTCAAACCCACCCTTGCCAGGCTGTCATCCTAGAGGTATGTAAGATTTACAAGAAGTGACTTAGAACAAGCATATCCAAAGCAGAATCTCTCCTAATAATAATTGAGAAGTACCTATTAAATTTTATAATGTTGCAAAGGTATTGTTCGGTGAAACTGCAGATGCAAATTTGAACTTCTAAAAAGAAACAAATAGAGCTAAATCCAAACTATGTTTATAAATATTCAATTCATAAAATGCAAATATTTAAGTGATTTTTTTTAAATATATGTTTTAAAAGTTTACCTTTATGTTCTGCCAAGTTTGAATTGAAAATTTTGGATATTTAATTATTTTTGTTTTTATAATTAATTTTTACAGGTCTGGCCTGTTTTATCTCGAGCTTGTGAAAAATATCAGTCTGATGTTCGTATTATAGAAAGATGCTGCAGATGCATTCGTTTCGCAATTAGGTGTTTAGGTAAAAATTCAGCAACATTGCTGACACCACTTGTCACACAGGTCAGTAGTGTTAACTCGTGTTACATTGCTTAGAATTTTTTTATACTTTATGCTGCATAAGCTAATAGGGGTTTGAATTTTTTATTATGAAGAAGAACCTCCAGAAAACAGTGACTCAAAAATGACACTAATGCAATAGAAATTTGTATTGCTTACCCTCTGTTGGTGAAATTTTTTTAAAAAGATGGTTTTAGTGAGCAATGTTCTTTGATCAATATAAATATTAAAAGTTAAGGTAGTTTCTCAAAATGTTGATGTGATTTGTTAGCTGGTGTGTAAATAATCAATTTTTTCAATTTCATCCAGATGGTCGGCCTCTACCAAACACATCAGCACTCATGTTTCCTCTACCTGGGTAGTATTCTTGTGGATGAATACGGCAAAGAAGCAGGTTGTGTGCCGGGCTTGTTAGACATGTTACAGGTAAATGTATGTGACAAACTTTTTTCACCTCACATTCAGTAGAGTATAGCCTGTAGTGACATTCAGTTTCTCTAATTTCACTCGTTGCTTCTATTGTTTATGGGGCCATTTTCCTTTGTCCCCCTTACGTTATTTTCTTTGTTTTATTTGATTTGCTAGCCCTACTTATTTGGGTTGAAAAATAGCTTTAGAAAATAGATACAAGCACTTAGTTTAAGTAAAATTGTTTCTATATGCTTTAATAAATTGATAAAATAATTTTCTGCCCCATGCCGTCATCAGTGTATAAAAAAATGAATATAGATTAAATAGCTTACCTATTGAATTAAAATCAAAGGTATAGAAAAAAAGAAAATGGGTGGAAGTGTGTAATAAAAACAAGAAACGATACCACCGTCCATCCCACTTATAATTAATTAAAATATTTTTGGTTTGATATTTTATTATTGCTTTAATGGATGAATTTCAGTAGGATTTAAAAATTACTGAGATAACATTTCTTAAGTAGCTATCACAATGAAGAAATTTTAGTCACTTTTTGTTTAATGTTTTTTTTGTGGTTTTTTTTATATTTAAAACCGTTTCTCTGATTTTTGTCTCTGTCCAGGCATTTTGTGGACCGACGTTTAAGATATTAGAAGAACACAATGGCTTAAGAAACCACCCAGATACAGTGGATGATTTGTTTAGATTATGTTTGAGGTCAGTCACATTTCATTCACTTTTATAATTATCATGAGGTTTAAAGTTATTTTGATTATCTGACAAAAAGTTTGGCTTTATGTTATTAGACATATATATTAAAATGAACTTTTTTGGATTAAATTTTGCATAATTACCAATAACATATTTTTACCATTTGTTTATTTAGACTTATCTGTTATGCCATAAATTATTTTTGAAAACATATTCCTGATAGATTGCTAATGTTTGATAGCTGCACCTTAAATCATTTAATAAAATTAATCAAAATTATTGTGTTATGCAAGCTGTACATCATTAGGTGCCACAGTATTTGCAAAGAAAACTGAATATATTTACTCTGCATGTTCTGATAACACTTAGGATATCTAATTTAATAGACTGATGTCAGATTATTAACCATTGAACTATTTGATGAGATATAATAAACTAAGCCTCCCTTGTTAAATTTTAGTGTTGTAGTGTTAAGTGTTTTGCCTTAACACAAACAGGACAGGTATTAAAACTGGCTTCACTCGATTGGTGTAACTGATTCTCTTATTGTTTTTGGTCAACTCAGATTCATCCAAAGAGCTCCCGTTCCTTTCCTTCAGAGTGCCATGGCTAAACCAATTATGTGCTGTGCAATAGCCGCCTGCTCTTTAGATCATAAGGACGCCAATGCTTCTGTAATGAAGTTCCTTACTGACATGATCAAATGTGTGCGAGAAAAAGAAGTAAGTTTCTAAAATAAATGCATTCCTTGAATTACAGTGTGCCGTGCATTGTAAAATGCATGTTTACAAATAACCACTGAAATTTTAAAGTTATCTGTCAAAGTCAGAAAATATAAGTTAAAATATTATAGTTTTTCTATTAAATTTACTAAAATGATACGTAAGTTAAACGAATTGAGTTAATATCAAGTCAAGATTAAGTGTTGTTGTTTTTTAAAATTTCAAGTAATTATTGATCTTTGGGATTAACGTAATGATTCCTTTAAATGATCCTAACAATATATTAAGTGAAATTTTAAAAAAAAAATTATGAGTGTAAATTTCAATGACTTTTTTAATTCTATTTTATAAATTATTTTAGGATAGAGAAGACTTTGAATTCCGTCGTTCCCTTGTTAAAAAACTTCTCGATGATCATGGTCAGTCGCTGGTTATAGCTTTGATCAACGCCTGCCTATTTTGTTTACCCACATTCATGTCAGCAGATGTTAGTGAAGTCCTCTATGAACTTATGGTAATAGACAGGCCGGTGAGTTGATCTTCACATTATTTCATATTTCAATACAATAGTTTTGCTGCTGCCAGAGAATTTGATTAGTTAAGCACTACTTAATTGTTTAAGGGCATCTGGCTTTTGAGAATACACAGAGTTTTTCCACTGTGCATAAAAATAAACTGAAAGTTGTATACAGAATCATTTTTTCCATTCAGACTTTTATATTAAAACCCTTTGCCATTACATGTCTTTTAAAATGAGCCAGACTGTATATATCATATAACTCCAGAATTCTGAGAATTTTATAATTGCTTTAGTTTGTAAATTATTTATAAACAGATGTTTTGTGTGTGGCTTGAGCACACATTAAAAGCCTTACCTACAGAAAGCAGCGGTGGTGCTGTCACAGCAACAAAGAAGCAACTTGCTGACTTCCACAAAGCTTGTACCAGGTAAAATAGCATGAATTGTTAATCGCCATCAAATGATGTCGTTGTGAATTATGGACAAATCTGACTCCGAGTGTTTTAAATGCTTTACAGCACTGGGGTTTAGAGATTTTTCAAAATGTATCTCAATTTCTTCTTCTTCTTCTTCTTCTATATCTTAAGGGCCCACGATCAATTTATTGATCATTTTGACATAGAAGTGGCAATAGTAGGTTCTTTAATTTTGTTCAAAATTAATGACTACCAATTAATTATGAAAGATAAAAGTTGATTACTTTTAAAAAGAAATAATTACAACTTTTAAAAAAATTGGTATGTTTATATAACTTATATGTAATATACTTTATTTTATTTCTGAGGTCATAAATTGCATACTTCTTCAAATCTTTAGAAAAGTAAATAGTAAGTGGAACCAATAATGGTTTTATAACTCTTGTGTTCTTTTATTAAAAGAGGATTCTGGTATTCTTACAATCTATTTCTTTTTATCTCCTCAGTGCTGAAGATTTGAAACAAGTCAGCAATGCAGTGAGAGATTTCTGTCGCCTTTACAGATAATCTCAGGCTCCCTATAGACTGTGATATTTCCTTAGTTTTAGCTTTCACGCCAACCTTTAGACTTCACAGCTTGACCACAACAAAATCTTCTCCATGACAATTTGCTAAAAGGCTGAATGTGTCCTTTTTCAGTCAGTAGAGGGGATTAAATTATCAAAGATAACAGCTGTTATTTGCTCTGCTTATTCCCTTTTACTACCTCTAATGTTATGCCTACCATTACATAACATGAGTTATTTTCTTATTAAGATTATATTTCCCCAGGGCCTGTCCAGAAATTATTAGTTTACCAATTTGAAAGATGTAATCTCGGCCAAACTTCATTAGAACAAAATCACAGGGAAATTGTCAGAGCTCAAGACCTGTGAGAATATTAACCCTCTTGTGGCAGCTGGGCCACTCTATTGGACCAGAGTCAAATGGCGAAAAAGATGAAGGGCCGATCCATCGGGCCAATAAACAAGCCTCAAGATTGGCTGGCTGGTCTTTGTACCAGCTAATGAGATTGCTTCTCGCATTTCTTGCTCGCCTAACCATTTTAAATGTGGCTTCCTTGGATGGCTAACGATGTATTGTTATTTTATGGCCTTTTTTTTTTTTCGTACTTAGTGCACCTTGACATATGCCAAAGGGCATAAGCACATTTATTGGAATACTTAATGCAGTTTTTCTGATTTAATGTTTGTTGGGACTTTAAGTTAAACGATCAGAAAAGTCTGCAAGTAAGACAAGCAAACAAAAACAAAAAAAATAGCATGTGTACATTATGCAAATTAGGAAATCTCATTTGCTGAAACTTTGAGATTTTAGTTTTATTCATAAAGATAGTGTTAGTTCATTTAATTCCCTAACTACAAGAATATATATAGTTTAATATTTATAAAGTAAATAGTTTATTTTGTAGTGATTTTCCAATATAAGTGCAGGGCTTGTAAATAGGGCTGTGTCTTCTTGGCACCCTAGGTCCAAGAGGGTTAAAGCCTACTCTTCTAACACAATCCAGCTGTCTGGCCAAAGCGGACAATTGTTTTAATTTAAGACCATGCTTTTATTCTGTTGATTATTTTGCTGCTACTCCATAGAAGATATGCTGCTCTTCATTTGACCACGTGTAGTCTATCATTAGCTGAAACCTTGATTTATCATTGTACATTTTTGTAAATCTTATGTTTAGATTGTATCTTTATGAGCTTATATCCTGGATGCTAACAAAAAATGCAATTTGGGTCATAATAAAATGAGTTCAATCCTCTTAGCATTCAAACTTGAAGTGTAATTATAGACTATGATTTAATTTGAATTAGTTTTTCCAATTTTTAAACTACTATGATGTATGATAAAATGTTTACTTCTATTTGTTTGTCAAAATGAATGAATAAATGTGAAATGCTGTTGTTGTTCCCCCTTCCAGAAACCAGGAAATAAGATTTAACTTAGACTTGGATTAAGACTTGGGAAGAGAAAAAAAATTGTGCTACTGCTACTAGCTTTTTGAAATGTTTTGTGGAATATAAAATAAAAAAATTAATTTCAGTTATGTTAAATTATATAGTGGTATATTATTTTATTTATCAAAGGCCTATAAAGATTTTTTAACATTTTATGTGGAGAAATGCAACCAAGTGCATGGTAAGTTTTGATAAAATCTATTTATTTTATAATTAAAAATAGATGTTACGGCCATGCTGCCATGGCTATATACTGTCACAAAATCCTGTGTTTGCACCTATAACGATTTTTTTTTTGGTGCAATTAAAATGTGTATAAAATTGTTGAATAACCACAGTACTATTATATAGCAAAGGTGGCCACAGTGCAGCATGAGGATTGCATAACACACCACCACCCATGTGATGCTGCTCTCATTGTTTATAATTATCCTATTTCAGTAAATTGTATTTGGGTGGGCATGTAAATAGGTTGTATAGATTTGTTTGAATTAATTTAACAATGAGTTGTTAGTATGGTACAAACATTTAAGCATATTTCTTTAGTAAAATACAATTTTTTAAACATTAAGTAAGATCCTTTTGTATTTTAGTTTCCTCAATAATACTAGTATAAAACCTAATACAGATATGAATTCTTGTTAACTTGATAGCCATTTAAAAAAAAAAAGTATTTAAAAAATAACTGCAGTATTTTGTATAAATTAAATGCGCTATAGATTATTTATGATTGTAAATAAATAAAATGTCAATTTGTTCAATTTAATATGAAAATGCATTTCTCCTGTAAATAACATAAAACTATTTCACACCTAGATTTTTTTTAAATATTTTTTTTTTCGCTTCTGGCACAGTTAAGCATTTTTCAGTTTATTTATTCTTCATTTAACTGAGGTTGAATTAACCTGAAAGGAACTTTAATCGTAAAGGAATTCTCCGAACCTCATTGTGGTCATTGAAGAAAGTAGGTTTTTTAAAAATAAATTTTTGTTTCTTTAATCCAACTTCAGTATGACTTAATACCTAAAGAGCCTTCCCATCAATTTTCGACTTTGACTTGCATAAATGTAGAGCTAGAATGTTGCTCCACATGTCGGCATGTTTGTCAATCATGTGCTCTGTTCCCTCTATCTGCTGTTGATATCATACATAACTAATAGTTTTATTTTGTACAGAGATACATGATTTTTTTAAATGTCATTACTGCTCAACATCAGTTTGAGATTTTGTGCATGCAATAAATATTTGAAGCTGAACATCTCAATCAATCTGTAGTTCCTTTTTTTTCACTCTTTCAACCTTAAACTAGTTACATTGGACTGGGGTCAATGAATAGAATTGTTCCATTGAAAAACGACCCACGTATGTGCTAGGTATTGATGGAGTACTCTTTACAGCACTTCAATGTAACCTGTTCTGCACCCAGGATGTGGTACTGTGTGGGCTTTATATCAATATATAGCATATAAATAATGTCAAATAGGATATCTATCTGTGGTATAAAATGGGTATTGTTTACTTCACCATCTATTTCTGAGTCATGGAAGTAAAGGAGTGAAGCAGGGGCTTGAGATCATTGGTACCTCTATGTGACACAGTAAATTAAAGCAAGGTAAATACATTGTCCAAGCCATTAAGTAATGGCAGACCTACTATGATGATGTGGACAAAAACTAGAATCTTAATATTTCCTATTAATTATTGCTATTCAAAAATAAGGCTCTACCAATTGGGGCTCCACTTATAATATTATTGACCGTATGAATTCCCTCAGACTTTAGCAGGGCCTCAATAGAACGGAAGATTTATTTCTGATTTCAATCTTAAAATGATTTGAGATCTAATCAGTTGATAAACAGGTTTGGAATTATTAATACAGTAGATGTTTTTTTATACCATCATTTTTAAAAAAAAAATGTTATTAACATCCAATTTAATTTTAATGATTTTTAAAAAGAAACTGGTTGTAAAAATGAATAAGTCAAATTTGTTTATGTATATTTCTTTACACGTTTTAAAAATATAGCCTTATAAAGAAAATTGGTGTATAAGCATGGTGTGCACTTTTCAGGGGCTGCTCCTCACCCACTCCAGGAAACTCCTAAACGCCATCAACTTGTAAGACATAGGGTTGGCCTAAGGGTTCCCTCATATAAATTGATTCTAAAATGGCTTCGTAAGTCAAAAAGCTTGGGAACCACTGGCTTAGAATCATCAATGCCTTGCATTTTAATATTGCAACTTGATTTATTTGTATTTATTTTTGTACCTATATGTGTAGAATAAATAAATATTTTCTTTTCTTTTTACAAACTTTTATAACAGTTACTTCATACTTGTGCATGAGGTATTAAACAATTCTTGCTTGAGCTTCTTTTGAATATCTTCTTTAAGTTTAACCTTTATCATTTGTACTTAAGTATATAGTAGTGTTGTTGTTCTGTTAGTGATCATGAATAAGAACACCTAAAGATTGGTTGAATTTTACAACTTTGTGTACTACACTATCCAAGAAAATTTGAAAAGAATCATTTCCCTTGTTTTTCTGTCCTTTCCATTATTTTCCAGTCATTTCCCTTGTCCTTTCCTTGTTTTCCTCTCCTTTTCCTTGTCCTGTACATTGTTTTCCTGTTCTTCCATTGTTTTCCTGTCCATTGTTTTCCTGACCTTTCCCTTGTTGTCCTGTCCATTGTTTTCTTGTCCTTTCCAATGGTTTCGTGTCCTTTCCCTTGTTGTCCTGTCCATTTTTTTCCTGTCCTTTTTTTTCCTGTCCTTTCCCTTGTTGTCCTTTCCCTTGTTGTCCTGTCCATTGTTTTCCTGTCCTTTCCCTTGTTGTCCTGTCCATTGTTTTCCTGTCCTTTCCCTTGTTGTCCTGTCCATTGTTTTCCTGTCCTTTCCAATGGTTTCATGTCCTTTCCATTGTTTTCCTGAAAGTCTTAAAGGGGAAACTACTTATTTGATTAAATTTAAAACCTTGAAAAAAATATAATTTGCTATAGAAATTTACATTTTAAAAACATACAAATTAAACTTTATATTTTTTTTTACAAAGCACCATATCCATGCAATGAACACTGAGATTTTACTAAATGAACTCCTCAAAGCTGTCTTCTAGGATTTGTGTTAAAAATGTTCTCTGCCTCAATGATTTGTGATAAAAAGATTCTCTGCTGACACTGAAACACATTTATTGATAACAAGTAAATTTCAAATAAGGGGAAGTAATGAAAACCTCATCGACAATTTCAATTAGATTTAGATCTATACCTTTTTGATTTTTTTTCCGTTTGTTCCCATGTAAGTTCCCTGAACACAGCTAGCCCTTAAGTTCCTGACAGTCTAGTCTCAGTTTATTGAGGTAGCTGATAGGGTGGTTTTTTGTTATTGAAAATATCATTTTAGTTTATAACTTAAGATACTTTAAATACCTTTATCATCACGTATGTAATGTACTCAACAATTTAACTTATTGTTTTAGCCTAATATTTTTAAATCATGCAAAAAATAAAACAATTTTAATGCAATTCAAGTTAATGGCAAGATTTGAATGTGTTATAGTGTTGTTTTAAACGATTGTTTTGTCTAGGCCTATGCACTTTATTGGGTATCTTAACACTGGCGTAGGAAGAGGGGGGCGGTCAGCCATGGGCGGCACTTAATATATTTCACATGGTTCATGTTATCTGCGTATTAAGTATTACGCATTCACACTGGGTTTCGTGAATTAGGCAAAGTAAAGGACATCCCATGACGTCACAAATTCTAAGCTACCCCACTTTACTTCCATGACATTTAAATTTAACAATTCCCTTCCTTTTTTTTCCTTTAACTTTCTAGTGCCAAGTAATGCCGTAGAAAAAAAAAATGGGGAGCGGGGGTGTTCGCCCCGGCCCCAAGCTGCGCTTATCTCTTTATCTTTAGGGGCTGCATTTTCGACCAACTGCCGAGTTTATTTCGTGGAATGGGGCGCGGGGGGAAGGGGGGGAGGGCGGGGGTGGGGGGGGGCTGACAAAAATCTTGATCCGCCCGAAGCTCATCATTAAATGAACTAAGAAAAAAAAAAGTTTCCTAACAAAAGATAACTTTCAATGAGTGGAATGGTGTCAACTAAAGGATATGCAAAAAATAATTTAAGATTAAAACCTAACCAAAACTAGCGAGTTTTTACCTAACCAAAACTAGCGAGTTTTTACCCAAAAAAATCAAACGCCTACTCGCTAATATCAATTCTAATTTTTTGTTTTTTATGTCGAGAAACAGAGCCTATTTTTATCTTTAATATATATTTTTAGAACAAACAAGAGAAAGATAGCAAACTTATTTGTTTAAAACCCACTCCCTCTATAATAGTTTCAATCAGGTTTACCCATATCGCTTTCATATTCATACTTAGAGCTCAGTGTTTGGTAGTTCCAGGTATCCCCGATCTCAGTTGGCGCTATAGGGCAGTGGTCCCCAAATGGACGTCCGTGGACCTTCACCGGCCCGCATGCCTAACGCTGCCGGTCCCCATAACATAAATATTTTTTGTCCAATAGAAATAAAAGTTTACAAATAAATCATGCACCAGTCCCTTGTAAAATTTCGAAACTTGTTCACCGGTCCGCCAAACCTAAAAGTTTGGGAACCACTCCTATAGGGGATTGCAAATGGGATTATTTCTTCCCAGAGTTATCGTTCATGCAGAGAGAGTACAAACCACGTACAAAGATGGCTGCTCACACGACGAAAACAGCATTTGAGACCTGGCGAGTTGAAGGGGTTGCGACCCACAGGTTGAGAACCGCTGATCTATGGTATTTAAAAAAAAAAAAAGACTTCAGCGCTCTTTTAAGAATTCATTCTTTATGTAATTAACGAATTCGATGTTTTTAGATGGCCGTGTTATTGGTGTGGTTTTTGTTCTTGTTGTTTTAAAAAATAATTTGCTGTTTTTTGCGGATAGAAGTAGATCGTTGGAATGGTTCACTAATTCAGAGGGTCTCATCGGCTAATGTGAGTACCATGATTAAAATAACGCCCCCCCCCCCCACACACACACTGTTCTTACCCCGTGCATATTTAAATTAAAACAATTAAAATTTAGAAGTGTCATGAACACCAGATGCCACTCTGTCTTTTTTTATCATAGACCTGATGAATAAATTTAATTGGCTGGTAGGCGTGGAATATTCAGACTCCTGTAGAAAAGAAGCCGCAGCCCACCCCCCCCCCCCCCCCCCCCCCCCATCCCAACCCCAGTGTAGTTGAGAGCTTCCCACAAGCCACACAGAGAGAACGAAGGCTTCGATTTAGCGGGCACACTCCCTACGACTTTATGGATGTCCTTCCAGCTTCCATATTCCATTGTTCACGTTAAAAATGTGTTTTGATTCAAAATTCCACATATCTTGTCCTAGTATTTACTTCACACGGCTTGAACGCAGTCCTTCATTTATTTGTGTTCAAAGACAGCGGCAGGAAAATCAGACAGAGCAAGAAATTCTGAGAAAACTCTTAGACAAAAAGATGGGGGACAACTGCACG